TTCATTTTTTCGATCAAAAATTAAACAGATGGATTAATGAAGCTCCGAACGTTCTCCACTGTACCGCCATTTCTTTTTCTTCTTAAAACTCTAACAAGGGCCGTGAAGAGTAAATTACGCTGTTCACCATGTGCACGATCCGCAGATCTAACCCTGCATCCTACCCTGTCCATGCCAACCAAGCCATTCCATCCCTCCGGGGTCGGTTAATTGGTACCAGACTTGTCTGGGAGGATAAAAACACTGACTTGTACATCGGCTGGCCCCCGCAAGTCATTGTATAGGCCACATCGCATTCAAACGCCACTGCGAATGTAAATGGAAGTAGAATGCGTGCCGCATCCCAAAAGGGATTAATCAGTGCTGAGTAGTTTACATTTAACCCTATTTGAATACCCTTTCTTACAGTTATCGCATAGTAGAATATAACCGCCCAAGCAGGTATAAGATGTGAGCTCCTAAGAAGTGCGCTACAGCACATTAGTACCTTTAGTTCGATTCATACCTGCTAATATGGTCTTGTATTTTTTAAAACCAAATTGACTGTTGAACGAGTGTAAAAGCTATTCAATGTTAGCGAAACGTTGCCTCTAGCGTAGAGGTTCGATTTGATCCGACCGCGCTGCAACCGCTCGCGTCACTTACCTCTATTGGTGCACACACGACCGTACCTCATAGGAAAGTGGGAGGATTGTAAAATTTTGAATTCGGCCGAGTGTAATGGTTGACCTTGGCGATTACTAACTTTGGAGCTAAATTTTATACATTGAAGCCTCAACCCTCCTACCGCTCGGAGACCTATGATGACAGAATTGAGACATTTCTCCATCTACCGACCACTTTGGTCTCATTGGACCAATCCATTAAAATCTATTACCATTTTCGTACAAGACGTTCATGAATAAAATCTGTCTTCAGGATTCTTCTCGAATCTGCTGTTGATTCTGCTCTTCCGAATGTCGCCCACACGGCCACCATCACTGTTTCCAGCGTTTCTGGCACTGTTGGATGCCCTGCTCTGCTTTTGTTTTGTGTTGATTTTCGTCGTTGACGTCAACATGATGTACCTCGAATTACCAGTAAGTTAGGAAGCGTTTTTTTTTTGACAAGAATTGCTTAGTGAAAGTCAATTTGCCTCAAATTTATAGTACCAATCGTGGATCGCTCCCTGAACAACCTTCAGTCTGCAAAATGTGCCATCAATTCAAACAATTACCGCTGTTTGACCTTCTTAAAACTTTAGAACCCGACTTCCATTTGTACAGACTTTTGGGGAAGGAAATCAGCCAGATGCTACCAAGTTAACACATTGAAGACCATGCAGCCCATATGTGGACTTTGTAGGCCATATCTTGACAACAGATATTGAGCCCTTCACTTTGTTCTCCTGTCTGTTTTATTTAGTAACTTCCCTTTATAAGCATGAGAAAAATTTATTATTAAGAGTCAAAATTAAAAAAAATATTAAAAATAAAAATAGTTAGCGTAA